GCACGGGGAGGGAGGGAGGAGGAGTTGTCCAGCAGGGCTGCCAGTGGGCGAGAGGTGCTGGGAGGTGGAGGGAGTTAACTGCTGGTGGATTCTCCACACCTGCTAATTTTTGCCAATGTGTGCTCCAGAGCCCCCATGGACTAGGTGCCTTTGCTGGGTGGTCGAGCCACCGCAGGGTGGAGTGACATGGTGGCTGCGGGTGGGAACTCTGCCCTGGGCTGTAGAACTGGAGCTGCATTTTTGGCAGTGCAGAGGCATGAGAATGACCCCATCTCACCTGGGCCAGATCCTTTCCCTTCTGTGTCTCACCTTGGTGCTGGAGCACAGGGACCCTGCACGGCTTAACTAAGGCCCTTCCAGCCCAGTGTTCTCCAGGGAGGCCCCTAGCTTCGGAGGCCTCTGTTTTGTTTCAAGCTGAGCATTATAGTTCAGGATTTGGGGGGCGGAACTGGGACCCAAAAGGAGTGCATGCTGGGGGAATGCGGTGCTCCAGAGAGAGTTTTCAACTAGTCTGTCCACAGTCTTCCAGTAACTGAGCTCTCCCGGCAGAGTTACGAGGAGCAGGAGTTGCTACGGCTTATCTACTTTGGTGGGATCCAGCATGAGATCAGGAAAGCTGTCTGGCCGTTCCTCCTGGGCCACTACCACTTTGGGATGACGACAGTGGAGAGGCGAGAGGTCAGTATCCTGCCAGCTGGGCTGCTGCCAGGGCAGGGACTAGGGATGTTAAATTTAGATTAGTTAACTAATCAAATAGTCAATGGGATTTCCATCGACTATTCGATTAGTCAACAAGGAGGCTTCTGCCTTTGAACTGTAGCAAGAGCCCTGTCAGGCTCTTGCTTCAATTCAAAAGCAGAAACCCACAGCGGGGCACTGGACCCACAATCCCTGTGTGCCTTAGCCTTTGAAACCTACAGTAGTCCTGGTGGGGCTCTAGTACATTTCAAAAGCAGAATCGCAGCAGTCCCCTGCTTCAGTCCCCGCTCGTGCCATTTCCCATTGTACCTCTACCTCCCCTGCCTCCCGCGGAGATGGTGGTGAGGGAACCAGCTTTTAAGCTGGCTCCCCACAGCACTGGCTCCTGCTCTCCCCCCTTTCTGCCTCGCTCTGATAGAGGCAGCAAGGGAGGGCAGGAAGCAACTAGTCACATCACTAGTCAACTATCCGATAGGTTTCTGCTTATTGGATAGTTGACTAGTTGCTTACATCCCTAGCAGGGACTGGTGGCTTGAAAGCCTGGGGAGGAAGGCAGCTGGTAGAGCTGCGGTTTTTGTGCTCGGTCCGCAGTGGCTGACGTTTTGCACCGGTGGCTGTTCCAGGGTGGGAAAGGAGGGGCCGAGAAGACAGCAGGCTCAGAGCGGGGCTGGGACCAGCAAAGAGGCATGTGCTGGCTGGGGCTCAGTGCTGGCTGAGGAAAGGTCTGAGTGCCCATTGAGCAAGGGATTGAGATGCTGCTGTCTGGCTGGAGGCTGATCCCCTGCAAAGAACACTTTGCTCAACCCTTTGACAGCTTCTTGGGCAGGGAAGAAGCTGGCTCATTGTTTCTGCAAGAGGTGGCGCCTGTCCAGATGAGGTTCTCTGCCTTGGGCTGTCCAGGAGCTCAGACCAGACAGCAGAAGGTCTTGAGGCCTGGTGCTCAGCGTGGGTATGAAGCGTGTTCGGGGTGTGGGGAGCATGCTTGGGGTGGGTTGCCTCTTTCACGGACTGTCCCGGTCGGTGTTGTCCCTGAATGCTGCAGGTCGATGACCAGATCCGGGCCTGCTACGAACAAATCGTGGCGGAGTGGCTGGGCTGTGAGGCCATTGTTCGGCAAAGGGAGAAGGAATCCCACGCTGCAGCTCTGGCCAAGTGCTCTTCTGGGGTGAGCCTAGACTCCCACATTCAGCGGATGATGCACCGAGATTCGACAGTCAGCAATGAGGTGAGGGGGTTCGGGGCCTGTCAAGGATGGGGCCCAACTGCCCAGCAGAGGAAGAAGGCTCCTTTTCCCTAGCATTTTACTGCTGGCCCATTTGCCTTTCTCTTTCCTTCCCTTCCTCTCTGCCTCTCCCCATTTCCGCTCCTCTGCAGACATTGCTCACACAATGACTGTTTCACTTCCCAGCTAGACAGAGACGCTGCTGTGTGCTCTGTAATGTCTCTGTCCCCTTGGGCCTGTCCTACCTGCGGCCTTCCTGCAGAACCTTGTCTTCTCCCACCTCTTCCTTTCCCTGGGGAGCTCCAGCCTCTGCAATCCCCACACATAACCCCTGGAACTGCAGTCACACCTGCCAGCTACCCTCTGGGCTAGATTACACAAGATCGTGCTCCAGGGTGTTGTGTCTGGATTAACTGGCATCTGGAAAAGGAATCGGGCGACCAGGGGGTGCTGGTAGTGGAGCATCTGCCACTTGAGCCATTGCAGCATGTGAAGGGCACAGCGATGTGCATTGGAAGTTCACCACCCCTGCCCAGAGATGGAGAGGCTGTGACTGAATGGGCTTGTCTGGGGCAGTTGTGTGAAAGGTGGGGTGGCAGAACAGTGCCCTTCTGGGTTACAGGCTGATCAGTGTAGACTGCAGCGTGCCCATAAGTACAGAGATGCACGGCCACGCACATGCTCAGTCTCACTCAGATGTACTCAGGCATGAGCCTTCTGCTCCAAGGCGTTGGTGGCTGCAAAGCCGGGCTCAGCATCAAAGGGCTCCTCTTCCCAACATGAAACCAAAGCCGCTCAAGGCTCCTCCCCCCAGCACGTGGGAACATTAAACACCACCCCGAGGAGCCACTTCCCACTCGCAAGCAGGGTGTCCGTGTGACAAGGGAACGGCAATTAACGGGGAAGGGAGCCCAGCATTCTTCTGGGAAAACACCACCCCAGCCTCTGGAGCATGTGGCCTTGAACAAGCCATCCCCCCCCCCTCTCCTTACACAGATGTTCCTGGGGTGCACAGATGGGGAGAGAGCCAGATGCCCCTCTCGCTCACAGTGAGATAACTTCAGTGGAGCAGAAACCATGTTGAACTGGTGTAAGAGGGAGGAGAGTCAGGCCCGAGGGTGGCGGGGGAGGAGGGTTCTGCCAGGCTCAGACACTATGGAAATAGCTGACAGGCCTTTGAAGACATGATGTCTGCACTCAGATCCCTGTTCCTGTTCTGCCTCAGCCCTGCTGGGGTCCTGGGATGCAAACTGGTCCAGCGGGAGCAGGCAGGTGGGAGGGAAGCTGTTGGGTTTAGCTATGGACCAGGCGGAGAGAGACTTGATGTCACAGGATCACATGTGGCAAGGCATGTACATCTAGGGAACAAGCACCAGGGACTGGAGGAGAGTCCATTGGAGGACTGAACACAGATGCATGCGAGAGCTATTGGTCCAGCTTTGTTCTCTGAGCAGGGCATCCATACAGGGACAGTGGGAACTGGGAAGGTGCCAGCTACAGACCAGGGCACTGCAGTGCCGAGGGGAGAATTTTCTGTGCCACAGAACAAGTGATCAGCCACGCCTTCTGACCTCATCCACTGCAAGCAAAAACCATGTCCAGGAAGGCCAAAAAAGACCACCTGGGTCCGCCCATCTGAGCTGCATCTGTGCTCCACTGTCTCCCTACTGAAAGAGGGCACACGTGTACGTGTGTGTGTGCGTGTGTTGGTTGGTGAGTCTGTCGGATAGAGCTGGAGGTAGCTGTGGGTAGGGTGTAGGAGAGATGCAGGCAGTGCACAAATACTATTTATTGCTTGCAGGATCTGAGGTGACACATCTCTCACACTGAGCTAGGCATGAGTGGGCTGAGAATATGGCATTTACTTCACATCAGTGAATCATTCCTGTCTCATTGGTGCCTCCCGTGTGTGGTTTAGTTTTACCCTTCCCATCTGCCTGTTCCTGCACGGGGCTGTGACAGATCCAAGAAGTGTAGAGGGTCACCCCTGCCCTTCCTTAAATCTGAAATCTGTGGTTGCAAAGTGTCCCCCTGATGATGGAGAAAGCAATCTCCTCACTGGAGACCCGGCCAACAAACTCAGTCCCAGCGTGGGCACAGGCTGCAAATCCCTGCTCCTCGTCTGTCTCTGAACGCTCTTGTCTTTACTTCATGGCAGCTTCATGTATCAATAAGTGTCACTCTGAGTGCAGGTGTCAGTTTGGCAGGAGCGACATGGCACCTTGGTCCCACCCCAAGACATGTAACGGTGTGAGTTCTGGAGGGATGAGGAGCAGGGCTACCATGCGCCCCAGAGCCTTTGTTTAGCCATGGAGGTCAGTGACCAGGAGCAGAGAAGCAGCAAGCACCGTGCATCGCGTGGCTCATTATGGATCCGTAACAGCGAGACAGAGCGTGGAGTCAAGCCGGCCTGTCTCCAGAGTCTCTCTGCAATCACGGTGCTTCACAAAGCCTGGAGCGTTGGTTATGGCCTGTGGCTTCGTTACCCATGCAAACTAAGATGTGGGGACTCAGCTCACTGCTGACTCAGGATAGGGACTGATAGATTCTGGCACTTCAGAATCTGGAGCTGCAGGCTGCGTGGCAGGCAGCACCCTGCCTGGGGCCACGTGGCAGGGGGGTCAGGGCTGCTCAGGTGGCTGGGGCTGAATGGTGGTAGGGAGAGGGAGCTGCCCTTGAAGCCTGGGGACAGCTGGGGCTACATGGTAGGGGGACGCTACCTGGGAGAGTCTCTTGGGAGGCAGAGCCATTGGCAGGTGCCATGGGGGCACACATCCGAACATGCACCCATGACCTCACTATTAGTGCACAAGACAAAACTCACTCTACTCACGGATGGAGAATCTTGGAGGGAACACTACTCACAGGCATCAACAATTTTCTTCAACTGGGTCATGAGAAAAACAGTTTGAAAACCACTGCTCTGGTCCCTGCTAGAGGCAGGGACAAATCTCCCAATCCATAGGACAAGTCCCATGCTCCCATGAATCTCTTATTTCCCCAGTTGAAATGCGAGGCTTTGTCAGTTTCCCCTGCCTGATCCAGAGGTGCGTGCTTCCAATATCACTGCTGTGTTGCTTCCCCCGGTGTTCCAGGTGGGGTGGCAGAACAAGCCCGTGTGTTGCCTCTTCCACTGACCATTCCTCTCCTCTCTTTTGCAGTCTTCCCAAAGCTGCAGCTCTGGCCAACAAGGCCATACTCGGCTGCAGAGTGACTCCAGCTCCAGCACACAGGTAACGCGCAGAGCTTGGTAGGGCAGGCTGGTCCCTGTGTGACTCCTGCATTTGGGTTGATGCACTTGTCTTAGGGGTGTCCAAAATCAGTGGGACTCAGCACACTGCAGCCTGTATGCCACTCTGAAGGCTGCACAAATTAAGATAGGGCACTGCTTTATATGCCATCCAGGAGTTCTGCCTGGGTTCTAGGAAAGATTTGCTCCATTTTCTGCAAATGCTGTGCATGTGCTGACCTCATTAGCTCCCAGCTTTGGTGCCTTCAGCTCCGTGGTCACCAACAGGTCGATCGCGATCAACTGGTCAATTGCGAGCTCCCCCATTTCCCTCCCACCCCCGAGAAGCCTCATTACCTACCTCAAGTGAAAATGGAGGTAGTGTCGGTTTCCTGGGGATGGACAGAAGTCCCACAGCTTAGCGCCACTTCCAGCGATTCTGGAAATAGCACTAGCTGCTCTGCCGGGTGTACTGCGGGAGGGAGCATTGGTTCCCTGCACTGCACAGGAGGGGTGAGTCAGCCCCTGGGCAGGTGCGCGCACAGGGTTTCTCTGCACCGGGGGGGAGGGGGAGGCCCTGGGGCAGGCGTGTGTGGGGTTTCCTTGTGCCGGGGGAGCAAGGGGGCAGGGGAGATCGGGAGGAGGAGGACTGGAGAACCAGCCAGCCATGGGGCAGGCACGCACGGACGACAGCGGCGC